ACTAGCCTGTACCCGCGCACATTGACTCGGTACCGGTACACCCTGTATATAGCCTCATTATTGTTATGTAATTGTATTGTGTAACTTTTTGATTTTATTTAATTTTTGTACTTTATTTTATTTAATAAATATTTTCTTAACTCAATTTCTTGAACTGCATTGTTGGTTAAGGGCTTGTAAGTAAACATTTCACGGTAAGGTCTACACCTGTTGTATTCGGCACATGTGAAAAATAAAATGTGATTTGATTTGATTTTTTTATTTGATTTTGACACACACACACACACACACACACACACACACACACACACACACACACACACACACACACACAACACAACCATACATAGACAAGATGTCCTGGTTTCTATGGCAATATTTAAACCTTGTGTCATGTGTTGTGTGCACTCTCTCTCTCTCTTTGTCTGTGTCTCTCTCTCTCTCTCTCTCTCTTTGTCTGTGTCTCTCTCTCTCTCTCTCTCTCTTTGTCTGTGTCTCTCTCTCTCCTCCCTGTCTCTAACTGTGTTCTGGTGAAAGTGGAGAAAAAGGGTGCATTCCAGCCACGCTCATGACAATCCTTAGATATTTCATATAGACCTTTTTCAGATCGAACTTCCATCATTTGTTCAAGTATGTCCAAGTCAATGTATTAACCAAACAACAGTTCAACAAAATTACATCAGTCTGCTGCACTACAACAGTATTTTTTAAAAGTATATTTTCACAACCTGTCACCAGTCTTGTCTTTTATCCTACATCAGATTGATGGATTTTCATTTAAGAAGGAACATTTATATAATATATAAATGTTCCGTATATAATTCATATATATATTATATTGATGTACTCTTATTAAGAATAAAGAACATTGTTTGATAAGGGAAATGTTGTGACAGGGAATCTTTCCCCCTGGGTGTGGTTTTCCCAGTAGAGGATAGTTGGGAATAAAGGAGTGACCAAATGAAGAACGGAATGTATAAAGGATTGTGTGTGAACGCCTGCTATAGCTGTCTAGCTGTCATCTCAACAACACAACAACACCCTGGTTCTACAGTTACATCTGAGGAGTGCAGCAAATAACAGGTAACGTAACATTTTAGGAATTAATTAAACTTTTATTTATCAAGGTTAGTCCCTTTGAGATCCAGAAAATCTGTATTGTCCCATTGGTGAGTTAGACATCTGTCAAGGGAGCTCTTACCTTATTTTATTGGTTTACTCTGAAGTGTGTTGCGATTTTAAATAAAGTTGATTTGATTTGATTTACTCATTCAAACTCAAGCGTTGTGGAATCTTATTTGATGAGACATGGAATATTGAAATGAAGTGATGGCTGACCTCTGTGATGGGCTTGCCCCCCTTAAAGTTGGTGCTAAGTTTAATAGTTAATTTGACAATGAAATTTACCGAGCTAAAGACTTAATTGTTGCTTCTCATAGTAGATCATGTGTACAGGTAATCAACTTATTTGGGCATGATTGCATTTATGGTTTGGAGGCCTATTATAAGATAGTATCTTATAATATGTATCCATATCATAATTGCAAACATATTGTACTCTATCACAGGAGGTTGGTGCCACCTTAATTGGGGAGGACATGCGTGGAATGGTATCACATACATCATGTGATACCATTTATTTGATGTGTTTGATGCCATTCCATTCACTCCTTTCCAGCCATTATTATGAGCTGTCCTCCCCTCAACAGCCTCCACTGTACTCTATAAGGTAAAGACAATGTTTCCTAGTCTGAGGGCAGGTAATCAGGTAATGATGTTATTGGTGAGTAGCTATCTGTGGAATCTGCTGTGCTAAGAGAAGAGGACAACCCCAGGCTTGTGTGAATTTTGCAGAATGATAGCACAGAACATATCCACTGTTTCATACATACTCCTTACTGAGGACTTTATGATGCATCATGTGCCAAATTACAATTTGTGTTACAATGGTCTTTAAGGTGGCCTTGAACCTTCATACTCAGTGTATGAGTAGCGTGGGACTTGGGTCTTCAATTCAAGTGGCATTGAGTTTGTGAGCCCATTTTAATTCACTGAGGAATGTTTCCAAACTGTCCAAGATGTCAGTGATACTTTAACCTCGACTCAGGGGTAGATGTAACATAGTAAACGTAAATCCAGTACACGCCATGTAGTATGACATCTTATGTTTCGTATGGTATGTATTAATTTGTGGATGTCCATCATCCATTTCGTATGATATGTTACGAATTTCAATTAGTACAATATGTTATGAATTGCTGTTCATACAATGTGTTTAGAATTTCTGAAACGTATTGATATGTTACAAATTCCAATTTGTTGTAGCTACCATTAGCTAGGTGGCTAGAGTGGCTAACGCTAACGTTAGCTAGGTGGCTAACGTTAGCTAGGCTAGGGGTTAGAGTTAGGGGTTAGGGTTAAGGTTAGGGTTAAAGTTAGGGTTTAGGTTAGGATTAGGAGTTAAGTTAAAGTATTAAGGTTAGGGTTGGGGTTAGGGGAAGGGTTAGCTAACATGCTAAGTAGTTGCAAATTAGCTAAAAAAGTAGTAAGTAGTTGCAAAGTTGCTAATTAGCTAAAATCCAAAAGCTGTCTGTGTCGAGATTCGAACACACAACCTTTGGGTTGCTAGACATTCGTGTTATACAGTGAGGGAAAGAAATATTTGATCCCCTGCTGATTTTGTACGTTTGCCCACTGACAAATAAATTATCAGTCTATAATTTTAATGGTAGGTTTATTTGAACAGTGAGAGACAGAATAACAACAAAAAAATCCAGAAAAACGCATGTCAAAAATGTTATAAATTGATTTGCATTTTAATGAGGGAAATAAGTATTTGACCCCTCTGCAAAACATGACTTAGTACTTGGTGGCAAAACCCTTGTTGGCAATCACAGAGGTCAGACATTTCTTGTAGTTGGCCACCAGGTTTGCACACATCTCAGGAGGGATTTTGTCCCACTCCTCTTTGCAGATCTTCTCCAAGTCATTAAGGTTTCGAGGCTGACGTTTGGCAACTCGAACCTTCAGCTCCCTCCACAGATTTTCTATGGGATTAAGGTCTGGAGACTGGCTAGGCCACTCCAGGACCTTAATGTGCTTCTTCTTGAGCCACTCCTTTGTTGCCTTGGCCGTGTGTTTTGGGTCATTGTCATGCTGGAATACCCATCCACGACCCATTTTCAATGCCCTGGCTGAGGGAAGGAGGTTCTCACCCAAGATTTGACGGTACATGGCCCCGTCCATCGTCCCTTTGATGCGGTGAAGTTGTCCTGTCCCCTTAGCAGAAAAACACATCCTTAGCATAATGTTTCCACCTCCATGTTTGACGGTGTGGATGGTGTTCTTGGGGTCATAGGCAGCATTCCTCCTCCTCCAAACACGGCGAGTTGAGTTGATGCCAAAGAGCTCGATTTTGGTCTCATCTGACCACAACACTTTCCCCCAGTTCTCCTCTGAATCATTCAGATGTTCATTGGCAAACTTCAGACGGGCATGTATATGTGCTTTCTTGAGCAGGGGGACCTTGCGGGCGCTGCAGGATTTCAGTCCTTCACAGCGTAGTGTGTTACCAATTGTTTTCTTGGTGACTATGGTACCAGCTGCCTTGAGATCATTGACAAGATCCTCCTGTGTAGTTCTGGGCTGATTCCTCACCGTTCTCATGATCATTGCAACTCCACGAGGTGAGATCTTGCATGGAGCCCCAGGCCGAGGGAGATTGACAGTTCTTTTGTGTTTCTTCCATTTGCGAATAATCGCACCAACTGTTGTCACCTTCTCACCAAGCTGCTTGGCGATGGTCTTGTAGCCCATTCCAGCCTTGTGTAGGTCTACAGTCTTGTCCCTGACATCCTTGGAGAGCTCTTTGGTCTTGGCCATGGTGGAGAGTTTGGAATCTAATTGATTGATTGCTTCTGTGGACAGGTGTCTTTTATACAGGTAACAAGCTGAGATCAGGAGCACTCCCTTTAAGAGTGTGCTCCTAATCTCAGCGTGTTACCTGTATAAAAGACACCTGGGAGCCAGAAATCTTTCTGATTGAGAGGGGGTCAAATACTTATTTCCCTCATTAAAATGCAAATCAATTTATAACATTTTTGACATGCGTTTTTCTGGATTTTTGTTGTTGTTATTCTGTCTCTCACTGTTCAAATAAACCTACCATTAAAATTATAGACTGATAATTTCTTTGTCAGTGGGCAAACGTACAAAATCAGCAGGGGATAAAATACTTTTTTCCCTCACTGTATGCCTACCCATCCACCCCGACCAATCACCATACTTTTGTTTTTTGCCTTAAGTAAACTTCTGTCTTCAATATGTAACCATACCAAACGTAACATATCATACTCATTTGAGTGTCCCGGACTTACATTTACTATGTTACGTCTAGTCTATGAGACTTAGGGATTGGTGACTGGGGCCATCTGAGTTCCTAGTAATACTTTTTTAAAATTATAGCCTTGAATGATGCTTCCGTTTCTGATGAAGATGAAAAAACGTAGTGATGCTGTCCTCTCGGTACTTACAGATACTATGGAAGTAAGTACCTCCCCTCCTCCAACCTCTACACTGACAACTAGCAACTGAGAACTCAGTTCTATAACAGGAACTGGCTCAGTATTCTTAAAAATGATTTAACTGTTATTAAAGTATTTTGGAATACTCTTGAATTCTTGAATGTCATGTCTGAATAGGCCTCTATGAGTGCGCACTGAATTTGTGTGTGCATGCCTGTTTTTCTTGTGTGCATGAGTGTGTGTGTGTTCATGCGTGGATATGGGTGTCAGTGTGCATGTGTGTCTGCATGTGTGTGTGTGTGTGTATGTGTGTGTGTCTGCATGTGTAAGTGTGTGTGTGTGTGTGTGTGTGTGTGTGTGTGTGTGTGTGTGTGTGTGTGTGCATGTCTCTTACTGTATATGTGTGTGTACCTATCTTGTCCCCCCAGCTCTCTGATGCTCTTTGTGGCTGTCCATCCTCTGGATCTACCCCCCAGGGAAGCAACAGTATCTGGCCCAGTCAGCAGCAACCAGGGGGTCCTGTCTGGCCGACACAGCCTGGCCAACAGCCCACCCAACCCCAGCCCCCATCCTGCTGGCCTGGTCCTCAACCATCCCAACCAGCCCCAGCTCGAGCCCAAAACTGGCCTGGTACCCAACCACAACCACAACAAACAGCCCCAGCCCATCCCTGCCAGCCATGCTGGCCTGGACCCCAGTACCAGCCCCAGGCTCCCCAGCCTTCAGTCCCCAACCAGTCTAGTGCCCTTAACCCAGTGTTTGGATGGCCGTTCAGCCCTTGTCAGTCTTGTTGGCCTGGTCAGAACCCAGACCTTAACCCTGACCTTAACCCAGGCGGGTCTGGATGGCCATTCAGTCCTGGTCAGGACCCAGGTGGCTTCAAACCTGCTCCACAGTGGAACCCAACACCAACTGGACATCTGGTGAGAGATAAGGAGAAGGGTCTGGAGAAACTATAGTGTAGACTCAGAGGAGGGCTGGATGGAGGTATGGAGGGAGGGAGTTAGGGGGGGAGATAGGGAGGGAGTTAGGGAGGGAAGAAATTGGCATAAACATTGTGTTGGTGTGAAGATAGTGCCATATCCTAAATGTCTCTGTGTTGTGTTGGTGTATAGAATGTGCCCTACAACCTAAACCTACAAAGAGGCATCTACGACAAGATGATGATCACCATCATGGGCCAGGTCAAACCAAACGCTAAGCAGTGAGTTCATCAACTACCATAGTCTACTGGGATTAATAAGATCCCTGAGATACCCAGTGGAAGCATTGGATGTACAGTACACATTACCAGTATGTTATTTGAACACAGCTGATGAAATAAGTCATTTTACTATATTGAATGTCAGCTGCCTTCAATACATCACGGTCCTGGAAGAGTGGGCCTATCAACCTGATGACTGTGGTTTTTCACATTTGAATGTCTTGACCTGTGCTTTTATCAATATGACCAATTAAACTGTTTTGATTGATCCTAACTTCTTTAGGTTCACAGTGAACTTCCTGCGAGGTAACGACATCGCCTTTCACCTCAACCCTCGCTTCAATGACGGGGGCAAGCAGGCAGTGGTGAGGAACCACAAGGTGGGAGAGCGCTGGGGGAAGGAGGAGAGGCACACACAGGGAGGCTTCCCCTTCATGGCTGGACAGTCCTTCGAGGTCAGGGGAATTTTCATTGAGGCAGTGGTACTACTGCAGCCTATACTGTACTACTGACTAACAAATCAACTGTAATTGACACTTTCGATAATGTCTGCTGCTAAATTACACTTTATTTCATTCTCCCTCTCCTCCCCTCTCTACTCTTCCCCCCTTTCCTGTCTTGCAGATGAAGATTCTGATTACGTTTGAGGAGTTTAAGGTGGCTGTAAACGGAGCTCAGCTGTTTGAGTTTAAACACCTTGTCAGAGAACTCAACCAGATTGATCGCATCAACATCCTCCATGATGTCATCCTCACCTATGTCAACATAGACACGATACCATGACAACCATACACATTACATCCTTATGTACATTATACAACACCCAATTATTTGAAAAGGAAATCATCTCCCAAATATCACTATTTCTAAAACAAGCCATAGAAGTTGGTTGCAATTTCAATTTAATCCTCCAAAAACAACAGAACAAATAATGCTACAAATATTGTGGTTAAACTCAAATATACTAATTGATAAAAAAAACATTATTTTTTGAAAAAATGTTTTAAAAAGGTATAATCTTCGTAAATGATATCATCGGTAGGACTGGTGGAGTTATGTCGCACATGCAGCTAACACAAACATATGGAAATGTCTGCTCTACCCAAAATTACAACCAAATAATTGCAGCCTTACCGCAAAAATGGAAAAGGAAAGTGGAAGGGGGGAAAAAGCAAGGAACTTGTCTGTCTGCCCTGCATTAAAGAACATAATTGGTTAAAGAAAATTGTGATAAATAAAAAAGTATACCAGTTTAATTTAAGGACCAAAGGATTGACAGCCGTCCCATATAGATTTCAAAATAGTTGGGAAGAGATTTTTGACGTACCGATTCCATGGCATAGTGTTTATTTACTGATACGCAAAACGACGCCGGATTCAAAACTTAGAATTTTTGTATTTAAATTATTAAACTAAATTCTTGCTACCAATAGAATGTTATTTATATGGGGGATACAGTCTTCCCAGCTCTGCAGATTTTGCTGTGAAGAAACAGAATCATTAGATCATTTGTTTTGGTACTGTCCATTTGTAGCTTGTTTTTGGACACAAGTCCAGGAATGGCTAAAGGATTGCAATATTTACCTGGAGCTAACCCTGCAGATAGCACTACTGGGTGATCTGAAAAGTCATAGTCAATCGATCAATAATATAATAATAGTTTTAGCAAAAAATTTTATTTTCAATTTACAATCTGTAGAAACAATGAGAATAGAAGGGTTCAGAACTTTTGTAAAACATCACAGTACAGTTGAAAAATATATGGCAAATAGAAATCCAATATGGATGGTGTTAAGAGATAGATGGGAGGTGTTGAATGGAGTTGAAGGATGGGACTAATAACAACTAACAACAACTAATAACAACAAGATAACTAATGTAAAGCATACTGTGTCCATAATAAGTATATAGGTTATAGGTTGAGAGATTTTGTGAAAGAGCACAGTTAGAAAGATATGGCATATAGAAGCAAACCGGATGGACATCATGAAAATGATCGGAGAAGGTTGAGGGTAGAGGAAGTTCAGGAGTAAAAACAAACAAAATATAATTATTGTAGAATTGACTGTGTCCGTAAAATGTATATAGTATGTATAAGCTGGAAGTAGAGGCCTAAGCATTGTTGTTCACTAGTTTACTCCAATTAGGGAAGGGGTGGTGGGGTTGGAAAGTAATAAAGGGAAATATATTTTTTTAAAGGATGTATATATATGTATGTATATGTATTTATATGTATGTATGTGTATATGTATGTATGTGTGTATGTGTTTATATATATGTACAGTGAGGGAAAAAAGTATTTGATCCCCTGCTGATTTTGTACGTTTGCCCACTGACAAAGAAATGATCAGTCTATAATTTTAATGGTAGGTTTATTTGAACAGTGAGAGACAGAATAACAACAACAAAAATCCCAAAGAACGGATGTAAAAAATGTTATGAATTGATTTGCATTTTAATGAGGGAAATAAATATTTGACCCCCTCTCAATCAGAAAGATTTCTGGCTCCCAGGTGTATTTTATACAGGTAACGAGCTGAGATTAGGAGCACACTCTTAAAGGGAGTTTGTTACCTGTATAAAAGACACCTGTCCACAGAAGCAATCAATCAATCAGATTCCAAACTCTCCACCATGGCCAAGACCAAAGAGCTCTCCAAGGATGTCAGGGACAAGATTGTAGACCTACACAAGGCTGGAATGGGCTTCAAGACCATCACCAAGCAGCTTGGTGAGAAGGTGACAACAGTTGGTGCGATTATTCGCAAATGGAAGAAACACAAAATAACTGTCAATCTCCCTCGGCTTGGGGCTCCATGCAAGATCTCGCCTCGTGGAGTTGCAATGATCATGAGAACAGTGAGGAATCAGCCCAGAACTACACATGAGGATCTTGTCAATGATCTCAAGGCAGCTGGGACCATAGTCACCAAGAAAACAATTGGTAACACACTACGCCGTGAAGGACTGAAATCCTGCAGCGCCCGCAAGGTCCCCCTGCTCAAGAAAGCACATATACAGGCCCGTCTGAAGTTTGCCAATGAACATCTGAATGATTCAGAGGAGAACTGGGTGAAAGTGTTGTGGTCAGATAAGACCAAAATCGAGCTCTTTGGCATCAACTCAACTCGCCGTGTTTGGAGGAGGAGGAATGCTGCCTATGACCCCAAGAACACCATCCACACCGTCAAACATGGAGGTGGAAACATTATGCTTTGGGGGTGTTTTTCTGCTAAGGGGACAGGACAACTTCACCGCATCAAAGGGATGATGGACGGGGCCATGTACCGTCAAATCTTGGGTGAGAACCTCCTTCCCTCAGCCAGGGCATTGAAAATGGGTCGTGGATGGGTATTCCAGCATGACAATGACCCAAAACACACGGCCAAGGCAACAAAGGAGTGGCTCAAGAAGAAGCACATTAAGGTCCTGGAGTGGCCTAGCCAGTCTCCAGTCCTTAATCCCATAGAAAATCTGTGGAGGGAGCTGAAGGTTTGAGTTGCCAAACGTTAGCCTCGAAACCTTAATGACTTGGAGAAGATCTGCAAAGATGAGTGGGACAAAATCCCTCCTGAAATGTGTGCAAACCTGGTGGCCAACTACAAGAAACGTCTGACCTCTGTGATTGCCAACAAGGGTTTTGCCACCAAGTACTAAGTCATGTTTTGCAGAGGGGTCAAATACTTATTTCCCTCATTAAAATGCAAATCAATTCATAACATTTTTGACATGCGTTTTTCTGGATTTTTTTGTTGTTATTCTGTCTCTCTGTTCAAATAAACCTACCATTAAAATTATAGACTGATCATGTCTTTGTCCGTGGGCAAACATACAAAATCAGCAGGGGATCAAATACTTTTTTCCCTCACTGTATATATATGTGTATATATATATGTATATATATATATGTCTGTATATATATGTATATATATATGCGAGAGAAAAAAACATATGGGGGATTGGAAGTGATGCAGACAATTACATTGATGGAAGTTACAATCTATCTGCAATATTAAAGCTGATCTACCAACAACAACCTCTGTATTCACCTTTCCTTATTTCTATTGGGGATTGTTTTTCTACTTGTCGATGGAAAGTCTACAAACCTATGAGCAAACCGGACTATGTATTGAATATGCCTCCATGAAATTGGATTGTGATGATACAGATGAAAGAATCCTGCACATAATGTGCTTATTTTCCATTTTCTTTTTGATCAAGGACAATATTTGATTTAATTTGTATGAAAATTATTGGTAAAATATGCAGAAAAGGACAGTAATTGCCCACAAATCTGCATCCAATTTTGATCTTCATGATTTGGGGCTTGATTTGGGGCTTGAATCAACCAGATCCGCATTAGCCAACATCCGCATAGTGGTTGTTTTGACGGTGTCGGGGGTGGAACTGCTTTTGAGCTGTCAAATCCATAAGTGGCTCCTGGCATTGAACCTAAAGCGGACATTGCCACTGGCTGCACGGAGCCACATTAACAGAAATCCCACGCAGCCTCCTTTACAAGTTCCAACACTGGAATGCGAGACGTAATTTATACCTCAATTAGGATGATAAAAATCCTCATTATTTCATTTAATGATTTTTTCAATTTGAGCATAATTATTTCTATGTAGCCTACACGTTCTCGTATTAAACTTCTAACACAAGAGGGTGGGTGTGGCATCGTGACAATGACCACTAAAGCAGCTTCTCACCGATTTGACGGCTCCACCGCATTTCCACCTTCGACACCGCCAAAACATCCGCCATGCGTATGTCTGCTATCACCGGTTAATGCTTGATCTGATTAATCTAGGACTTAGTGACTGCAAAGACAATCTATTGGTTAGATGGGATTTTTTTCAAGACAGACTTACTTTCTGTTTCGTCAGCTTGACTCAAGAGGTATGTGGTTATGTATATATTTATGCAGGCATGTTCTTTTGATAAATGTATTTGCAATTTTGAGAAGGCAACTACATTTTGAAAATGCATTTACTGCTTTGTCTTGTGTACACTGTTTTGAAAATAAACATAATTGTTCCAAATATTGAGGAAAAACGATATATTGCCAGTTGTATTTTATAGAGAAAACATTCAATGTATGGTAGATGAAAACATGTGGCCTTACATAGAAAGGACATTTAATTGAACAGCCATTTCAGTCACTTATTTTGTACAGTGATTAAGATCAGATAAGATATTACTTTATTAATGCCCCAAAGGGGAAATTTGATTGCACCAGCCAACACATACAACACCTATAAGTTCACAATAAAACACAACAAAGGACACACATATACTAAAAGCAGCACCTCATCAGTTAATATTTTTAAAAAAGTATTCATTGTATTTACAGTACTACGTGTACTTTTTCACTTTAAACATATTTTCTCTGTTTCATACTTGTAATTACTTTCAATATCACTGGTTAAATAAAGGTTAAATAAGAAAATATTACTGTATTCCATGTTGCTTTTGCAGAGGCCCAATCCTACTAGGAGGGCTTTGTCAGCCAAGTCTAGCCTTGCAGTACACAGTAGGCCTTAGTATCTCACAGTAACATGTTTGGTTAGTAGTCCCATAACTACCTGCCTGGTTCTGAGGACTTTTGATGGACTTGATTTGATTTATGTTTACTGTATTATAAAAATTTTAAAACAGCATGACCATTTTTATTTTTTTTACCTTTTAATGAAATTCTTCCTGCTTTAGTATTTTAGTCCTTATTCAGAGAACCATAATAGCTCACTTCTATAAAATGTTTGATTACCATCTCGTACCATTTACTATTTTTCATAGAAAAGGATGATCTATTGATGGTTATAGTTAGTATTTTTTTTAGCTATTATCAAATGTATCATATGATGACAAATTATACTGTTTTGATGGATCAGCTAGTTTTGTGACATGTATTCTAAGTTTTGAAGGTGCACGTTTATTTTGCATTTTGACAAATGATACTATTTCGATAGAGTTATTTCATTTTGTGGTATGTATTTCAAGTTTTGATGGTGTTAGTGCATTTCGCAAGAGAAATGTGTTGAATGTACACCGAGTGCACAAAACATTAGGAACACCTGGTCTTTCTGTGACAGTCTGACCAGGTGAATCCAGGTGAAAGCTATGATCACATTGATATCACTTGTCAAATCCACTTCAATCGGTGTAGATGAAGGGGAGGAGACAGGTTAAAGAAGGATTTTTAAGCCTTGAGACAATAAAGACATGGATTGTGTATGTGTGCCCTTCAGAGGGTGAATGGGCAAGACAAAATATTTAAGTGCCTTCAAACAGGGTATGGTAGTAGATGCCAGGCGTACCAGTTTGAGTGTGTCATGAACTGTTGAATTGAATACCCCTGCCTATTCAGTTGTGGAGATCTGAGGGGATTTGACTGGTGTAACCAACTTGCCCTCTGATAGGCTAAGTGGAAGTTTCACCATATTGCTAATACCAATCAAATCGTCTCAGATGTCGCCAAGCACATAGGGATTACAGTCTAGGGGTCAGTTTGGGATTGGGCCATCATTGTATTTCACTGAAGGTCTCCATATGACAGGATTCAGCGTTGTCTTAAGAATCTAACCAGATTGGTTAACTTTCACCACTATGAATAAGTAGTAAGTGTGCATGTTGGGATTGTGTATTTGTTGTATTGTTGTTACCGTGGACACCGTTGATTTATCAGAGAGTAAGTTTGACCATGACCCTCCACCTCAGCACCATATAATCTACAGGAATGAGGAATTGATTTAGAGAAACACATTTTAGTCGACAAGAGGTTAGGTGCAGGGGATATCCCAGATCTGTTTGCGCTGTCTTGCCTACTCCTATTGTCATTGTTTGGCGAGACAACATACGAGTGGCAAGGCAGCACAAACAGATCTGGTACCAAGCTAGGTTTCCATACTTACAGACAGGGGTTACAGCTAGGGGTCAGAGGTTACAGCTAGGGTCAGAGGTTATTGGTCTAAGGTGTTTCGATACCTACAGATAATCTAATTATGGATGGAGAGACGATAGAGGAAGATAAGTGTTTCCAATTACATCATCAACCAATTAGTAGACAATTAGTTGGCAATGCCTACTCACAATTGGTTAAAATTGCACACCAATGATGTCATTGTAGAAATGCATCTTCCTCTATCTTTTTTACCACAAAACATAGAAACTAGCAATTTTCACTTATGTTGATGTTGGGGTGGTGCTGGAGATGATGAATATGAAGGTGAACATTTTTGAAAATTTCCTTTAACATTGTTTACATTTCAGCTATTGATTTCATTCAGGTGTTAAAATAAACAATCTCCAGGAATAATTTTACTGCTTGTTGGGAGAGTTACTCTAACGCTCTGTCATAAGGGCTACATAACACTGTCTTAACACTGTTATAACAGAAGGGGAAACTTTGAGAGATGGATAAACAGAGTTGATGATGTTTATCACCGTTACCAGGAGAACTGTCAGACTGGCCCATCTTATGGTGTGTTACAGACTCAATGTGGTGAGACAGACTTTCCCCCTGACTGCAATGGGAAACAACCCCAGGTCTGACACAGCGAAGGAATCTGTCTGTTGTAATGACATTACTGTCCTTAGCACAGAGACCATGTCAGGGAGTTAGTTATTGTCTGTGAGACACAGTCTCATGACTGGCTGCTGAGCAATCAAGTCAACCACGTTACCCACAGCAGACCATCACATTGTGTTCGTTGTGTTTGGAAATGGGGGTACGTACTCAAACGGGTGCTTTCGTGCTAAATGAGACACCTTGGACATGAAAGTTAGGCACCCCCTGGTTACGCCTTCTCACTTGTAACACCCACAGACATATGCATGCGCATACACACACATACACACACATGCACACACAAACACACTCATGCACAAACACACACACACATACACACACACACACACACATACATACAACACAACCATACACAGACATGATTCCCTGGTTTCTATGGCAACACTTAAATATTGTGTCATGTGTTGTGCCACGCTCGAATGGGGCTCCAGGCAAAAGCGGAGGAGGCAAGGGAGAAGGGAGAAGAGAAAAAGGAGGAGCGAGCAGCGCGGAGCGAGAGAGAGCGAGCGCGCGCGAGCGAGAGAGAGAGCGCGCGACCGCGCGAAACAGAGCAGAGAGGGAGACGAGCAGCGCGCGCGCGGCCGCGGAGAGCGCGAGAGAGCGAGAAGAGCGGCGAGCTAGCAGAGGAGCCCGCGCTCGCGACGCGAGACGCTGAGCGCGTCCATAGAGAGCGCGGCGAGAACGGCGCGATAGGCACGCTCCGCGCGAGCATAGCAGATAGCTCAGCTGAGCTCTCTCGATCGCGCTCCGAACAAACTCTCTCTCTTCTCTCTCTCTCTCCTCTCTTTTCTCAAACACTCTTATCCCCTCTCTCTCTCTTCTTCTCTCGCTCTTCTCTCTCTTTCGTTCTCTCCTCCTCGCTCTCCTCTCTCTCTATTCTCTCTCTCTCTCTCTCTCTCTCTCTCTCTTTCTCTCTCTCTCCTCTCACACACTCTCTCACTCCCTCTCGTTTACTCTCTTTCTCTCTTTTGAAAAAAAGGGTTATTGCATTCCAGCAACACCCATGACAGTTTCAGAGCAGAAACACCAGGGAAGATAAGTGCTTTTTTGATATTATAGGGACATTGTTATATAATCCCCCCTCAGATATTGCAAACTTCTATCATTCGTTCAAGTATGTCCAAGTCAACCTATTAACCAACCAACAGTTCAACAAAATTACATCAGTCTGCTGCACTACAACAGTATTTTGCTAAAGTATATTTCCACAACCTGTCACTAGTCTTGTCTTTTATCCTACATCAGATTGATGGATTTTCATTTAAGATGGAACATTTATATATATTGATGTACTCTTATTAAGAATAAAGAACATTGTTTGATAAGGGAAATGTTGTGACAGGGAATCTTTCCCCCTGGGTGTGGTTTTCCCAGTAGAGGATAGTTGGGAATAAAGGAGTGACCAAATGAAGAACGGAATGTATAAAGGAGTGTGTGTGAATTCCTACTATAGCTGTCTGGCTGTCACCTCAACAACACAACAACAACCGGTAATGTAACATTTTATTCATTTATATATCTCTTATTTATCCAGGTTAGTCTCATTGAGACTGCGATCCAAAAATCTGTATTGTCCCATTGGTGAGTTAGACATCTCTTTGACAAGGGAGATTTTACCTCATTTTATTGTTTTACTGTACTGTGTGTTACAATTTTAAATACACTTTAAATAAAGTTTGATTTGATTTTATCTATCTAGCTCCAGCTGTCTGGAATCATAGTTGATGATACATAGAATATTCAAATACAATTTTGGCTGATCTCTGTCATAGGCTTGCTGCTTGCCCCTCCAAAAGCTGGTACTTACTCTGCTCTGCAGCAGGGCCAATTTAGTCCTGGGCTAAGGTTGGTGTTATGCACTTTAGAGTGTGAAAGTATGACATGTTTCTTAGTATGCTGTAGTCTAAAAGATGTCATTTGCTAAACCAACATTTTGCAGTGTGAAAAGCCCTGGTTTATAGAGTGTATCTTCCACTAACCTACAGTTTGGCTGAATAGGATAATGAATTGTACGATGATCCACCTACATTGTATATGAGACAGAATTGGCATGGTCTGCATACTGCTGGTCTATGGGATGTTCAAAAGTAGGCTACTTACTGAAGGAAGAAAAGGCTAGATTCAATCCGATTGCCACTTTTCGGCAGTCATTGCTAGAAGGGATGCAGCTAATGTCAAAGTGACGTCAAAAGTTGCATGTTTGAGTCATGTCGGCGAGAATTTTTTTATTTTAGCTAACCCTAATTATTTTCCTAACCTTAACCTAATTCTCCTAATTTGCAACGTTAATTATCCTAACCTGGCATGTAAATTATCCTAACCTGTTACGAAAGGTCGGTTGGTATGGCAACTGCTTGGCATCGGACCACAACAAGGTGCTACAGAACTTACAGAGGGTATTGCAGAAGGCAAGTACATCACTGGGGCCGAGCTCCCTGCCATCCAGGACCTCTATACCAGGCGCTGTCAGAGGAAGGCCCTACAAATAGTCAAAGACTCCAGCCACCCAAGTCATAGACTGTTCTCTCTGCTGCCTGGCTGCAATGCTATCTCACAACAAGCGGTACCGATGCACCAAGTCTGGAACCAACAGGACCCTGAACAGCTTCTTCCCCCAAGCCATAAGACTGCTAAATAGCTAGTTAAATAGTTAACCAAATAGCTACTCGGACTATCTGCATTGACCCTTTTTGCACTCACTTTTTTTTTACTCATCACATACTGTATGCTGCTGCTACTATTTACTATCTGTCACTTTATTCATAGTTAGCCCTAAATAGCCTACATCTGTACCTCAATTACCTCGTACCCCTGCACATCTACTCAGTACTGGTATTCCTTGTATATAGCCAAGTTATCATTGCTCATTGTGTAGGCTATATAGTATTGCTTTTATTATTACCTGTTTTACTTTTCTGTTATGTCTATATTTTATTTCTCTCTGCATTGTTGAGAAGGGCCCGTAAGTAAGCATTTCACTGTTAGTCCACACCTGTTGTTTACAAAGCATGTGACAAATAAAATTTGATTTGATTTGAAAGTCACTTCTGCCATTAGCTGCATCCCATCTAGTCAAAATCCTTTTGGGCTATGCACCTTTTTAATGTTTTGTCTAGAAGGGATACGGCTTTTGTCAAAACTGACTTTTCGCAGCAGGTTTAGGAGAACTTACGCAGCAGGTTGGGAGAATTAACGTAGCAGGTTAGTAGAATTAGGTTAAGGTCAGGAAAAAGGTTAGGGTTTGCTAAAATGCACACAAAAAAAACTAGACATGACCCCACTTTTGAAGGCAATGTTTCTGTGTTCGTAGAGGCTGCATTCAGGGTAAATGCTGTATGTCGGCTCAATCGAAAATTACCTTTTAAGTGTCAATCGCGCTATAACGCGGATCTACCGCGGTCCGGATTTAATCTAGGCCTAAGAACTCTTAGACATTATGCCTTGAATATTCCATTCTGAATGACAAAGAAAGAAATATACAGAGCAAATGTGTTACACTGAATTGCTGCTTTCAATAGTAGGTACTTAGAACAGGTAATCAACTTATGGACATGGTTTGGAGGCCTATTATATATCCTCTTGTAACGCATCCATATCATAATTGCAGAGTCATCATGTATTGTCTATAAAGACCATGCACAACACATATGGCTATATAGACTGAGGGCAGGTAATCACGTAATTATGTTATTGGTGAGTAGCTATCTGTACAATCTGCTGTGCTAAGAGGAGAGGACAGTCACTTGTGTGACTGTGGCAGAATGATTACAGACAACAGATTCACAGTTCCATACACATTCCTTACGAAGGGCTTTATTATGCATTATGTACATCCTCCAAGTGTTACAATGGTCTTTACCCAAGTGTTACAATGGTCTTTAGGGTGGCCTTCTACTGTCATACTCTGTGTATGAGTACTGAGTAGTGTGGGACTTGGTCTATAATAATCAAGGGAGTGAGCCGATTTTAATTTGTTGAGGTAATTCACTGGGGCCATCTAGTGGTTATCTATAGAACAGCAGTCCCTCTCGAATGTCCCTCAGTATCAGCTGGTATAATCAGAGATGAAACTGGAGCAAACAAGTTCCTAAAGTGAAAATCATATTGACCTGTGATCCAACAGTGGTGAGTTGCTATAGTGATTTGTGTTTTGTTAAGGGACTAATGCTTCCATTTCTGATGAAGATGAAAAAATGTAGTTATGCTGTGTTCTCTTTACTTACAGATACTATGGAAGTAAGTACCTCCCCTCCTTCAACCTCTACACTGACAACTAGCAACTGAGAACTCTATGACAGGAACTGGCTCAGTATTCTTGAAGTATTGTGTGGAAATTGTCTCTCTATGTGTCTATGTCTGTGTTATTTGTCCGTGTCTGTGTGTATGGGAGTGTGTGCATACGTGTCCTTACCAGTGTGCATGTGTGAATGTGTGTATCTTTGACTGTATGTATGTGTACTTATTTTGTCCCCCCAGCTCTCTGATGCTCTGTGTGGCTGTCCGTCCTCTGGTTCTACCCCCCAGGGAAGCAACAGTATCTGGCCCAGTCAGCAGCAACCAGGATGTCCTGTCTGGCCGACACAGCCCGGCCAACAGCCCACCCAACCCCAGCCCCCATCCTGCTGGCCTGGTCCTCAACCATCCCAACCAGCCCCAGCTCTAGCTCAACCCCAGCCCATGCCTTGCTTTCCTGGGCAGCCGAACACCCGCTGCTGGCCTGGGCCACAGCCATCCCAACCAGCCCCAGCTTCGGCTCAAAACTGGCCTGGGCCACAGCCATCCCAACCAGCCCCAGCTCCAACCCAAAACTGGAACTGGCCTGGTCCTCAACCATCCCAACCATCCCCAGCTCCAGCCCAAAACTGGCCTGGTACCCAACCTCAACCTATCCAACCAGCCCCAGCCCATCCCTGCCAGCCATGCTGGCCTGGACCCCAGCCTCCCCAATTACAGCCCCAGCCTGCACCCCAGCCTTATCAACCTCCAGCCCCAGCTCCAATTCAAGCCCAGGCCCAGGGCCCCAGCCAGCCCAGTCCCCGAGGGTGGCCAGTCCCAGGCTTTAACCCAGGCGTTAACCCAGGGTCTGGATGGCCATTCGGCCCTGGTCAGGACCCAGGTGGACAGTCTGGTTGGCCTGATCAGGACCCAGGTGGCTTCACACCTGCTCCACAGTGGAATCCGACACCAACTGGACAGGTGAGAGACAAGGAGGGAGGGAGGGAGCGTCAGTGGATGGAGGGAGGGAATTGACATAAACATTGTGCTGGTGTGAAGATAGTGCCATATCCTAAATGTCTGTGTGTTGGTGTATAGAATGTGCCCTACAACCTGAACCTACAAAGAGGCATCTACGACAAGATGATGATCACCATCATGGGCCAGGTCAAACCAAACGCTAAGCAGTGAGTTCATCAACTACCATAGTCTACTGGGATTAATAAGATCCCTGAGATACCCAGTGGAATCATTGGATGTACAGTACACATTACCAGTATGTTATTTGAACACAGCTGATGTAATAAGTCATTTTACTATATTGAATGTCAGCTGCCTTCAATACATCACGGTCCTGGAAGAGTGGGCCTATCAACCTGATGACTGTGGTTTTTCACTATCTAATGTCTTGACCTGTGCTTTTATCAATATGATCAATTAAACTGTATTGATTGATCCTAACTTCTTTAGGTTCACAGTGAACTTCCTGCGAGGTAAAGACATTGCATTCCACCTCAACTCTCGGTTCAACGAAGGGGGCAAGCAGGCAGTGGTGAGGAACCACAAGGTGGGAGAGCGCTGGGGGAAGGAGGAGAGGCACACACAGGGAGGCTTCCCCTTCATGGCAGGACAGTCCTTCGAGGTCAGTGGGAATATTATTTATAGCAGTGCAACTCTAGCCTATACTGTACTGACTAACAACTCTAGCCTATACTGTGCTGACTAACAACTCTAGCCTATACTGTACTGACTAACAACTCTAGCCTATACTGTGCTGACTAACAACTCTAGCCTATACTGTACTGACTAACAAAGGGAATATAGAACAGTATAGTGTGTAAGCTATTATTAATATTACCGTTGGCTGGTTGGTTTTTCTTTATCTCTGCTAGTGATGGCAATTACAGGGATAAAGTAGTTAAAGCAGGTTATAGATCAGCACTGTGGGATATCCTCTACCTCAAGTATTTTCCTTTTTCTGGTGAAAGCTTTTGTTGAGTCGATGTACTGTTGAATGTTCGAGAGGTGGTCAGATGTAGCTTTCACAGACCTTTATTTAACCAGGTTATTTTGCAAAGACAATCTTGCCACCAGTGTTTGTCTGTCCTGTGTTTCAGATGAAGATTTTGGTTACGTCCGGCGAGTTTAAGGTGGCTGTGAACGGAACTCAGCTGTTTGAGTTTAAACACCGCATCAGAGAACTCAACCAGATCGATCGCATCAATATCCTCCATGATGTCATCCTCACCTCTGTCAACGTAGACACGATACCATGACAACCATACACATGACATCACTATATATTATACAACACTCAGCATAGGCTTCATGCATAACATGGCATCAATCTGCAATGAAGTCTTTGCACCTTTTTTATGATGATGGTGATATTGGTGATGATGATTATGATGACGATGGTGATGATGATTATGGTGATGATGATGATGATGATGATGATGATGATGATTATGATAATGATGATGATGACGAGCTGCAAACATAATACTGCATTAATGCCCACAAACTCTACAAAAAAACAATCCATGTGCAAATGTGTGTAATTTACAGGGTATGAAGGCCTAAGAATTAAGCAATGCCATTTCATTTAAATTCGTATGATATTTTATATCTATTTTCTGTTGAATGTCTATGTAAATAAACATACTTTATGGCTACGATGCCTTTCTGACTAAAGGTATCACTAGATACAGTGCATTACACTGATTCACTGAAGGTCTCCATATGAGGGCATTAAGTGACCTCCAGGGGTAGTAAATAACTAAAATTGTATGAAATAAAACCATTAAATTGAATGAAGTTTTACATATTTTATTGTATCAGACCTCTCAGACAACTGCAATATCAAGACTGACTTGACAGTCAGGATTCAATGCACACAACAAACATCCCATAACAACCAGAGGGCTAATATTAGTACTATGCATGCCAGTCTCTCTTGGCTAAGAGTTGAGGAAAGACTGACTGCGTCACTTTTTATAAGAAACATACATTTTATGGAAATCCCTAATTGTTTGCATAGTCAACTTACACACAGCACTGACACACCCACTTACTTCACCAGACATGCCACCAGGGGTCTTTTCACAGTTCCCAGGTCCAGAACAAATTCAAGGAAACGTACAGTATTATACAGAGCCATGAGTGCACGGATCTCCCTTCCATCTTATATAGCACAAGTGAACAGCAAACCTGGACTAAAAAAACAAATAAAGCAACACCTCATGGCACAACGCCTCTCCCCATGTGACCTACTTATTGTGTGTACAGTCTGTACTGACATGTATGTGTAACTGATAGATGCACACACACACACACTTCATGTTAATGTTTTTAAATATATGTAAATTGTAAAGTATTTTGTCTGTAATGTCTTTTTCGTTATGTGTCAGACCCAGTAAGACTAGCTGTCCCCATTGGCGTCGGCTAATGGGGATCTTAGTAAATCAAATAAAATCAGTAAAATCAGAAGAAATAGAGACATTCAGCATCCATTCACCATTCTGAAACACAAGTAGAGTAGGCTAACAGAAGTGTCAGTTAATGTAAACTACTCTTGCTGTGCAAGCTAAAAACATTAAGAGAATTCACAGTTAAAAGGATAAAACAGCAATATAGGAATAATAGACCCTCTCCTCACATTTGCCCACAGTGCAGTCCCTGCATTCATTCATTTCTTCCTTAATTCCTAGCTTCATTACATCACATTTGCCCACAGTGTCTGTGGGTTTATTTTAATATGTGTATGCATTTTATTCATGTCTTCTGATGTGTATCTTCTCAGATCTTGTTGTCCAGTCTCTTCTCCATCGACTTCAGTAAGAGCTCAGAATACTGCTGCAGGAGAGCAAATGCCCTGTCTCTCTCACCTTTGACCCCTACCTCCCCCCTCACTGCTACCTCCCCCCTGAGCCCTTGGCTTCTATGTACAGGGAGAGGTAGGGAGTCTAGTTCAGTCTAGACCGCGGCCGGGTGCCAGGGTTTCCTTCTCCAGGTGGAGCTGTACCTGGCCACCGTGCACCCGGCGCCCTCGGGACATGAGAGCGTGTCCGCCCTGATCTCCTGCCTGTCCGGGAAGGCGTTGGCATGGGCCAACGCGGAGTGGAGGAGGATCGACGCGGACACTATAACCTACGACGAGTTCTCCCGCCGCTTCAGGGCGGTGTTTGACCATCCCCCGGAGGGGAAAGCGGCGGGGGAGCATCTGGTCTTCCTCCGGCAGGGGAGGAGGAGTGCCCAGGAGTTCGCTCTCGAATTTCGTACTCTAGCGGCGGATGCAGGGTGGAATGATCGGGCTCTCGTCGATCACTACCGATGTAGTCTACGAGAGGACGTCCGTCGGGAGCTGGCCTGTAGGGACACCAGCCTCACGTTCGACCAGTTGGTCGACATGTCCATCAGGCTGGATAACCTGCTAGCTACCCGCGGACGTCCCGAGGGGGGTCCGTCCATTTCACCCTCCAGCGCCTCCGAGCCGTGCCCCATGGAGCTCGGGGGCGCTGGCGCTAGAGAGAGGAGGGGTCGGCTTACTAGGGGGTCCATCCCCTGCACCAACTGTGGTCGGGGAGGACACACCGCGGCTAGGTGCTGGGGATGGCCTCCTAAGGGAGAGGACGACAGGTCCCGCACTGGGGATTCCTTCCAGGTGAGTAGGCGCCCCACTCACCCAGAGCTCTCTGCTACACATTTCTGTATGCCTGTGAGTTTTCCACAGGTAGCACCTCATTCCCAGCATAAGGCGCTGGTAGATTCAGGCGCGGCTGGGAATTTTATTGATAAGAAGTTTTGTTTAGCTTTAGGGATTCCCCTTCTTCCTGTTGAGGTCCCTTTCCCCGTTCATGCCCTAGATAGCCGTCCGTTGGGGGCGGGCTTGATCAGGGAGGTCACTGCGCCACTTAGGATGTGTGCGCAGGGGGGTCATCAGGAGATGATTCAGCTATTTCTGATTGCCTCTCCTGCGTATCCGGTGGTGCTGGGCCTGCCCTGGTTGAGTACCCATAACCCATCTATTTCGTGGCAGGAGAGGGCTCTGATGGAGTGGTCTGCCCAGTGTGTGGGTAGATGTTTAGGCGTTTCCGTAGGGGCTACCTCGGTGGAGAGTCCAAACCAGGTGCCCGCATTGCACGTTCCCCCTGAGTATGGGGATTTGGCTATTGCGTTTAGTAAGTCGAGGGCGACGCAGTTGCCGCCCCATAGGCAGGGAGATTGTGCGATAGACCTCCAGGCAGGAGCTGCGCTCCCGCGGAGTCATGTGTATCCTCTGTCTCAGGAGGAGAAGAAAGCTATGGAGACTTACATAGACGAATCTCTGAGACAAGGATACATACGGCCTTCCACTTCCCCTGCGTCCTCGAGTTTCTTTTTTGTGAAGAAGAAGGATGGTGGTTTGCGCCCGTGCATCGATTACCGTGGTCTCAATCAGATCACGGTGAAGTATAGTTATCCACTCCCGCTGATTGCGACCATGACTGAGTCCTTGCATGGGGCGCGTTTCTTCACGAAATTAGATCTCAGGAGCGCGTACAACTTGGTGCGCATCAGGGAGGGCGATGAATGGAAGACAGCCTTTAGTACCACCTCGGGCCATTACGAGTATCTTGTCATGCCATACGGGTTGATGAACGCTCCGTCAGTTTTCCAATCATTCGTGGATGAGATCTTCAGGGACATGCAGGGGCAGGGGGTCGTTGTGTACATTGATGACATTCTCGTGTACTCGCCTACCCGTGTCGAGCATGTGGCCCTGGTGCGCAGAGTGTTGCGGAGGCTGGTGGAGCACGACCTGTATGTTAAGGCAGAGAAGTGTCTGTTTTTCCAGGAGTCGGTCTCCTTTTTGGGGTATCAGTTGTCTGCGTCAGGGGTGAAGATGGAGGTAGACCGTGTGTCGGCCGTGCGTAATTGGCAAACACCAACCACTGTGAAGGAGGTGCAGCAGTTTTTGGGGTTTGCGAATTACTACCGGAGGTTTATCCGGGGTTTTGGACAGGTGGCAGCTCCCATCACGTCTCTCTTGAAGGGGGGTCCGGTGCGTCTGCAGTGGTCGGCCGAGGCGGACAGGGCGTTTGGGAGGCTGAAGGACCTGTTTACCTCGGCTCCGGTGCTAGCGCATCCGGATCCCTCTTTACCATTTCAGGTAGAGGTTGACGCGTCTGAGGCCGGTATAGGAGCCGTGCTTTCACAACGGTCAGGCGCGCCACCTAAACTCCGCCCCTGTGCTTTTTATTCAAAAAAGCTCAGTCCGGCGTAGCGAAACTATGACGTAGGGGACAGGGAGCTGTTAGCCGTGGTACAGGCCCTAAAGGTGTGGAGGCACTGGCTTGAGGGGGCTCAACACCCTTTCCTCATTTTGACGGACCACCGTAACCTGGAGTACATCCGGGCAGCGAGGAGGCTAAACCCTCGGCAGGCTAGATGGAGTATGTTTTTGACCCGGTTTACGTTTAAGATCACGTACATCCCTGGGTCCCAGAACGGTAAGGCAGATGCGCTGTCTCGGCGGTATGACACGGAGGAGAGGTCCGTGGAGCCCACTCCCATACTGCCGGAGTCGTGTCTGGTGGCACCGGTAGTGTGGGAGGTCGATGCTGAGCTCGAGCGGGCGTTACGCACCGACCCTAGTCCGCCACAGTGCCCGGAGGGTCGGAAGTACGTTCCGCTCGAGGTTCGGGATCGATTGATCTATTGGGCTCACACGTCACCCTCCTCTGGACATCCGGGTATCGGCTGGACAGTGCACTGTCTTAGTGCCAAGTACTGGTGGCCCACGTTGGCAAGGGATGTGAGGGTTTATGTTTCCTCCTGCTCGGTGTGCGCCCAGTGTAAGGCGCCTAGACATCTGCCTAGGGGTAAGTTTCTACCCCTGCCCGTGCCACAACGACCATGGTCCCACCTCTCGGTGGATTTCCTTACTGACCTTCCTCCGTCACAGGGGAATACCACTATACTGGTCGTTGTGGACCGGTTTTCTAAGGCCTGTCGTTTGCTCCCCATGCCGGGCCTTCCTACCGCCCTGCAAACTGCCGAAGCCTTATTCACCCATGTGTTCCGGCACTACGGGGTACCCGAGGATATTGTGTCTGATCGAGGTCCCCAATTTACCTCCAGAGTCTGGAGGGCCTTTATGGAGCGGTTGGGGGTCTCGGTGAGCCTCACCTCGGGTTACCACCCGGAGAGTAATGGGCAGGTGGAACGTGTAAACCAGGATGTGGGTAAGTTTCTAAGAACATACTGCCAGGACCGGCCGGAGGAGTGGGCA